CTTCACTAGTGCGCTCTTTCTTGGGCCTCTCGGACTCACGAGGTCTCGGCGTTCCGGCGGCTTGTCGCGGTTCGGAGAGAGCCGCCCGGCCCTGACGAAATACAAAAGCTAGGGTTTAGGGTTTAATTGGTGTTTAGGTTTAGGGATACAACGACAGGGCTTCATAGACAAAGCGATCCTTTGATTCAACTGAAAAGCTCCTGGTCCTTTACGGTCTCTGCCAGGGTTTTGCACGGAAGGTAGGGGTCTTACTGATTCGAACAAGGCTTTGTTGTAGATTGTGGTCTGACTATATAGTGTCATTCCGGCCTTACCAGAGTCCGATACCCCTCATTTGAGGAATATGCCGCAAAACATAATATGAAGCCCGGCTGAGTTTAAGGTATATTCCAGAATCAAGGGTTGTTGGGCACTCTGGGTACGTGAAGCTCTGTGAGCATGGATATGGGGCTCGCATCAGACTTTAGAAGTTTCCATGTTTTCGGGTGGTAAGGCTTTAAGCCTAGGTGCCTCAGAGCTGGGATTATTTTTCATCCCGTTGTTCTAGGCAGCTCAGGATATGTCAATGAATCAGCCGTCAGGGCTGTGCAAGTCATCGCGGATCCGTCAAAGAGCACAGGCTGTTGGCGGACGATGGCCAGCTCCAACACTGCCTCAAGTTCCTTGCAGTTCACGGGCTCAAAGGACACCTCGTACCCGGGCTCCTCCAGGAAGTGGCCTGACGTGTTGGCTGCACCGCGCGGGAGCTTTGGAAAGAGGCTGGCGATCGCCGGCTGTTCATCAGGCTCCGCCTCCTGGACCGGCTCCATTGCTGCTGTCTCCTCCGAGCTGGACATGGCCTCCGGGACCTGCACGCTTAGCTCCCGGAAGCATTTGTGGCAAAGGTCGTCCTTCGGCCTCGCGGCTTCCAAGGCACGCAGCATCTGCTCGGCAACACGGGCTCGGCACAGCAGCCGGCGGTCATCGCCAACTTTGTGCACTTTCTGGCTAACGGAGTGGATCACCGTGGCTCCGGGTGCAAAGGCCTCCATGCACCCAGCTTTCGCTCCAGCCGAAATCGAATCTGACACGCAAGCCCCTTGCACAAAACACCCAAGCTTGTCCAGCACACATGCTTGCAAGAAAGAGCTGGCTGTGCGCCTCGAAGCCAACTCGCCCAGACCTTGCACGCAAAAACAGCTCGTGGACCCATACCCTGCTTGCAACACGAACGCAGACTTCCAAATGCCCCCTCTCCCGGACGTGAAAATGTGAATCCCGCCCTCCCCCTACCCGGAGGTGAAAACGTGAAAATATGAATCCTGCCCTCCCCGTCCCGGACGTGAAAACGTGAAAACGTGAATCCCGCCCTCCCCGCACCGGAGGTGAAAACGTTAATTTGTGAATCTGTCTCTTTTCCTGTCATTTTTTGCCATTTTTCGCACCAAAATCGCCCAAATTCACGAATTCACGTTTTCACGCTGGCCTTCCCGGCCTCCCAGCCTCCCAGATTCACGTTTTCACGTTGGCCTTCCCGGCCTCCCAGATTCACGTTTCACGTTTTCACGTTGGCCTTCCCGGCCTCCCAGATTCACGTTTTGACGCCGAGCTCCCCGACCAGCAAATTGGCCATTTTTGCCTTGCCCGGGTCCTCCCAACCTCAAAAAATGCCCAAAAGTCGCAATTCTGACCCCTCCCAACGTCCAGAGCCTCCAAAACATCAACAACCTATATTAACCTATATATTTGAATGAATAAAGAAATGGTATTAACATTTATGCATATTTAGGAATATCGTTAGAAAAAAGAGAGAGGAGGACACGCCCCAGAAAACGAATGAGACGATACTATGATTTATGAAATGGTGGAGGTGGAGAGTTGTGATAATGAAAAAAGGGAAGAAAACTACTTAAATGAAAAAAGGTAGGAGAAACGAAGAAGGCGACGATCATGATGATGAAGGAAATGAAAAAAATGAATGGAACGAAAGAGCTGGCAAGAAATAACGAAGAAGGCGACGATGATGATGATGATGATGATGATGAGGGAAATGAAAAAATGAATGGAACGAAAGAGGTGGCAAGACATGTTATAACGGATAAGGTGAAGAAAATGATAGAAACGAAGCAGGTGAGCAGATGATGGAGTGGATAAGGGGGCACAAATGATATAGGGCTACCCCCAGAACCAGCCCTGATACAAGCCTCAGCCCCAACCCCAGAACCAGACTTTTCCCTATTTGGGTTCACAGTTGACAACACTTCTCACAACCTAACTGCCTCATATCCCCAACCGCCTACAACCTGAACAACACTCAAGCCTCAGAGGCCCCGGCTGCGAAGACGTCGAGGTAGTCGGAGCAAAGACCTGGGCGACATATTCTGTTTGCGGGAACGGTTTTGGAGCACAATCAAGATGATCAGAAAAGCTTCTCGTTGCTTTGTGGTAACCCTGACACAAAAGGGACTAGCTTTTTTCAATCAGTCATCGAGACGAGAGGCGGTCTATTGGTTTGGCGACCAGTGAAACTGGCAGTGACAACATATCGAACTCTTACTGGGCATCTTCGTGCTTCAACAACGTCTTCAAACGCTTCACCTCATTCTCCGCTATCTCCAACTCTTCCTGCTTGCGCTTCCTCTCCTCTCTCTCCTTCCGCAACTCTTGCTGCGTGTCCGCCACTTTACTGTGTTTTGGTCAGAGCTATTGCTACATCTTTGTGCATACGATCACAAATGTTATGACGGTAGTCCTGCTCTTCCTCCTCCTCCTCCTTCTCCTCCTCCTCGGGTTTGCGGCTTGGGGGTAATATGGGCTTCAGCATTGGGGTATAGGGGTTATGTGAGGATCACGACTGGAGCTTCCGGTTGTCGTTTTTGAGTTGCAATCAAGCTTTGTGGTGCACCATGCTCTTCGAAACACCACGCTCCAAACGCACAAATCTGTGAAACCTACAAGCCCCGAAGCTTGTAAATTACCAAAGTTCCAACCACACAATCCCCTTTGCGAGGTGATTCGGGGTGTCCAATCCCGCTCCTAAAAGATTGAATCGTAACCGCGTGCACCCCATATCTCCAAAGCATCTAAACCAAAACGCAGAAGACTGAAACTCTGAAGTAGGACCTTTTAATCCCAAACTCTTAAGTATCTGGTGCCTGCCACGGCTAGTTGTAGTAGGGTGTTGCTCATGACCTTGCGGGAAGCTTTAGTTTAGCAGTCGAAAATGGCATTGAAGAGCCCATGCACTCTTGGAACCGGCCGAGAACCGTCTGTAAGAAGCTCGGAATCCTCTGACCCAAGATCTTAGATTCTGCAGGCAGTAAATGCGGAGGGCCTAGGAGTGTCGTGTGCAGGATCATCTCTCGGCAAACTTCAAGGTCCCCATCCCGCAACAAGGTTCCCGCAATAAAGCACCTTAGAGCCTACAGTACCTGCCCCTAAAACCTAAACCCTGGCTCCCAAACTCTCAAACTGCAACCCTACAACCAAAGCCCGAAATCTTCTGACCATGACACCCGGAAGCCCCGGCCCTTAAACCCTGCACAAACAACCTGCAGGGATTCCTGCAATTGAGAAGGGATGTGGTTTTAAAAACCCGAGGGACGTCTGAGTTTCTGGCAGGCTCATAGCTTCCTTCAGGCACACGGTTCAGGCTTTGAGGGTTTAGGGTTTAGAGATTTCAGCGTCTCAGCAATCACGTGTCGTTTTGATTGGATCACGAAATGCCCGCCTCGCCTATTCAAGTTTCTCGCCTTGAACAACGTGCTCTGCGTGACGCTGGAGGATGGAGTGTTTTGGGTGTAGCGTTCAGGGTTCAGCATTTGGGGGGTTTAGCTTTACGGCTCAGGATCCCAAACCATTAAGATTCACCCCTCACCTCTGTCTTCCTTCCACCCTTCACGGGTTTAGTGGGTCTAGGGCTTAGCCGCTAGGGTCTTTGACCCTAAACCTTATGTCTGATGCACCATCCTTCAAACTATACCGTAACACACTATGCCCGAAAACTATCATCGCGACGTGCCCACATTAAACAGGGCACTGGGACACTACGATTTTCTTCTGACTCGCCGGTGAGGCGATTCAGTGCCTGCCAGCTAGCATGTCCGGTAATTCAATAACAAGCCTGAAGAGCCTGAAGAACACCAAAAGGAACTCTGCCCCCGCCCCCTTAATAGACCCGTACCACCGGTGCCTTGGCCGTGGGCGGAGTGTCCTGGGTTCAGGGATACGGGGGTCAAGGGTTTGGGACTTAGGGCTCGGTGTTTCACTGGGCATAAGGGTTTGGGAATCATCCTATCCATGTTCCAACTTTCTGGGGTTCACTATATGTGATATGAAGGTCTGACTGAACGATTCTACGAAGGTCTGACTGAAGCATTCATAAATCGCAGAAACCTCCCCTCGTTGTCCGTATAGGGTTTAGGGTTTAGGGGCATGGTGCAGCTCGTTTTCCTCGCGCTCGCAGATGCGGTCATAGTCGATGCGAGGCAATCACAGTTCTAGCAGCATATGCAGCGAAATGCAAAAACCCAAGCCCCAAACCCTAAACCCCAAACCCTAAAGCCTAAACACTATAGACCCTAAACCGTGAACTCTTAGAACCCCAAGAACTAGAAGTACTTCTGGGGCACGGTGTCGTGCAACAGTGGAATCTTGAGCCGCTCGGCATAGCCAGCTAGATTGAGTGTCGGGTCTGAGGATTGGGGTTTCGGGCTTCGGGTATGGTTTGGTTGTCAGGTTCAGGGCCAGTTCCTGGCAATGCAAGAGTTTCACTGAAAAAGTTGAAAATGCAGAGATGCTACGATCTTAGGAAGGGCGTTGTGGTCCTCAAGTGGTGGTTGAGATTGGTACGTGCGGTCCTTCATTGCCTTTTGGGTCTACGCTGGCCCTCTGCTATGCTCGCCGCCGGCCCTGTGCAACAAAGCTGGTGCAAATGGAGCTGCTGTCACTATGGCTGGATCTTTTTGCCTGCAAAACTTAGCCTGGTGTCAGTACACATGAACGAACATGCGCAGCATCCATTAGGAGCCGCTGTCCCACATGGAGTTGCGACAGCCAAGATCCCTAAACCCATTGTACACCTGGATCAGCATGTCTTTCTGGACAAGTGTCACGTCATACCCCCTGGCTGTCAGGCTTTCCTTCTGGGCACTACTAAGCGAAGCGCGTTGCCGAATTTTCTGCATCGACGGTGGCAAGAGACGCCGCGCCTCATTCACCTCCTTGTCGTTCTGAAAGACTCGGCAGGCATCTACTTCTGCTTCGTGCCGGTTTTGCTTTGGACGCCCCCTGAAACGGCGCTGGAAAAAACCAGGTGTGACCAGGGTGGCAATGAAGCTGCCTTTGCCGCTGGAGGCGTGCTCATAATGGTACTGACGATCACCTGAGCCCATGTACCGCCCCAAAAAAGCAGTAGGGACCTCCTTCGGCTGCATCTTCATCCAGTCTGAATCCGATATTCCTATAAAATCTGTCATTCGAGGTGCAACTGTTTTTAGCTCCCCGGACCTAATTCGCGCAATAAGGCTCTCCCCAGTCGAGTCGTCTCTCTTGCAACTGCCGGGCCTGTCAGATTTTCGCGCTTTTCGCGCGGCTATCTCTTCTCTTTGTTCAGAATCGATTTGTGCACAGTGGTGTCCGGACACAGCCGGCGCCAAGGAGGGATCATGCTGCATCAAACCCTCGGTCTGCTTGACAAAAATCATCTCTTCTTTGACGTGATTGCTTGCGCCTGCGAACTCTTCATCTTCCGCCGCTTCCTGTTTGAAGGACATTTCTCGGCCAATATTGGAACCAAGAGTCTGCCAGCTCAGGCTCTCCGAGGTGAGCTGCCAGGACGCTTCCGAACCAACGGCTGCGCTCTGCGAAGAGTCAAACTCCATCTTTGTGAATGAGGCTTCCGACTTCATCTCGCTTTTCAGCTCGTTCAGCACCTCACATCCACTCGCAAAGTCTACTAGGGCATCACAAATTTCGCAAAGTACTACTATCATTATCATAAAAGGACTCCCCTCCAAGCTGACAACAACAGAGCGGCATAACATGGCATAGCCGCATAGCCACCATAAACTGCGCAGAAATGAGCGTTGAATTCTATACTACGACGACGTCGGGCGTCAGGAATTCTAGGCTTTAAGGCTCCAACACAGCACAACCACATGCACGAATCCCAGGACGGCCTCCCATCTGAAAGCTTGCAAAAACAAAAAATGTTGCGCCTCACACTACTGAGCAACAGCATTTTTGCAAACAACTTGCAAAGCGACGGGAAGCAAACCTTGTAATGGATATGCAAAGTGAGGGTCTACCTTCTCAGGAAGATGCGAGACAGCAATCGCGGCAGGCCCTTCCACGCAAAGAGCGCGGCTCTGGACAGGAGCAGCACCTTCTGGATGAGGCTCCTCCTGGATTGGACCGGTTTGGGAGGCAAAGCAACAAAAAAACATCATGCCATGGTGTTAAACTTGACAGGCAGCAAACCACTCTCTCCTCGAGCTTGACATCGCAAGAGCCGTCACTGCAGCTTGGCTGTGGCTCATCCCATTCCATGCCTTGCAAAAAAGGATCTTCTTTGATCGAGGTGTTGCCGTCTTCCTTTGCTTCCCAGCCCGCTTCTGCCCCAGACAGGCACTCCGAAAGGCATGGAACCCAGGACTCTGCTGCAGAGCTTTGCGAAAGCTGGGGCGGCAAACTGTCGTCGCAGGCCGTGGACTGCGAAAATATTGAACCCAAATCCTCGAGCTCCTGCTTCGTCTCCCGCTCGTCCTCCTCCAGCTTGGCTCGCTTGCCCTCCCAAGGGGGCTCTCGCAATGCACACCTTTTCTGAGATGCCATGGCGCTTGCGGTGGACTCCGCAATGCCTAAAGACTATGGAACACCTGCGTGAGGCAGAGTTGGGCGAGGTGTTATGTTTCAACGGAGTCTAACTGAAACAAAATGACAGCTAACATGCTTGGGTGGTTAAGCTGTCACTTTTTCCTTGGAAACCTGATACGATTCACACGCCTAAACTTTACATGCATATGTTAAGCCTGACCCGGGGGTGAGGCCTGCAATGCTGGCGGCACTGGCACCGGCACTGCTGGCCAATAGCCAAGCTTCACTACCTGATGGAGCTGAGCCAAGGGTGCCCGACAGAGATATTGGTCTTGATTGATGGTACCTCTGGGCCACACATGGCCCCTCCACCCTGAGCTCCTCTCTCCCTCATGCTCTCTCGCTCCTCGCTCCCCTACTCGCTCACTCCCTCACTTAATCCCTCAGGGGCGTGCTCTCCCCTCCCTCCCTCACTCGCTCCACGCCTCTCTCCGCACCTGCTCACTTCCTCCCTCACTCCTTTATGTGCTGGAGCACGCTGCTGGAGACAAACCAGACGAAGACTGAAATCATGCCGTCACTATCCTGCCTGATTGCCTGTTGACGCACTACGATCCTGGCGTCTTGATCAGGCAGCCGTGGACTCTTCCAGGCAACATGCTCTGTTCCTTGACTTGTGTGGTTGTGGCCACGTGCTCGCCATGGCTGTGGAAGGCGTGCTTCCCAAGAGTCGTGACAGTCACAGTGTTGGGTCATGTTGGGCATGGCTTGCCTGCGGGCGCCCTTCACCATATGCAATCTCTCAGCGGTGGCGGCACCCTGCTGCGGATGTGGTGATTGTAGTTCATGTGCCATCTGATCCTGTGGTGCTGTTGTGCAACCGACAACCCAGACCTGCCCAAGTGCGCACCCTGCTCGCACTCCATCATGACCATGCGGCGAACAACCAAGAGCAGCCTGCGCGAGCGGGTGTTTTTTCGAGGTGCTTTGGTCATCCCTCACTTCCGCACTCGCACGCTCCCTCACTCCTCACTTCCTCACGCGCTCCTCCCTCACTCTCCCACTATCGCACTCGCTCGCTCAATGGCTCACTCTCTCACATGCTGACTTTTTCACTCACTCACGTCGTGCTCACGATCTCACTCCCCAACTCCTTCACTCCTCACTATCTCACGATGTCTCACTCCTTCACAAGCTTCCTCTTCCTTGCTCGCTCACTCCCTCACTCTTCGTTGCCTCACTCGCTCCCTGCCTCCCCGGCTCCCTGCCTCATTGCTCACTCCCTCACTTCCTCATTCCGTCACTTCCGCACTCGCGCACTCCCAACGCATCATTGCCTCGCTCGTCGTCTCCCTCACAGTTACTCCCCCCTCCCTCCCTCGCACCCTCACGCGCTCACGCCCGCACCCAATCCACCTCCACATCGGCTCACTCCCTCGCTCTCTCACTCCCATACGTGCACGCTCCATCACTCGTTCCCTCCCTCACTCCCTCACTTGCACACTCCGGTGGAGCCTCGCAGCCGCCCGCTTCAGGGGAGCAAAGGTCAGCATCGTGACAACTGACATGGTGGGACAAAGGTGCGGGGGCTTAGTCAGTGTTTATGCGCAGTAGCTCTGGTTGAGCGGGAGCCTGACGACATGCACTCCAAAGATACTGTCCTTATAGAATTGCCCGATATCGGAGGACAAACCACTGGCATCACTACAACAGTCAATAAGACTGCAAAAAGCCAACCTCCATTGAGACGTCCATTGGCGTAGCAGCTACTGCGGCATCCACGTCCATGGCGCAAGAAAAAACACGTCGTTCCCCTTTATGGCAAATCGGTTTCTCCAATAGACTTGACTAGACGAGACACACACACACACACACACCAATTCGAGCCATGACGCCAATAACATCATACATCCTGCAGAAATGCAACAGGCGCGCAGAGGGGTAGCACCGCACGGGCTTCGTTGGGAATTAGCCGGCGGCTCTAGAGAGGAAAAATGACATGCCGGGTCAGTCCTGCGACCCGGGGGCTCGCAACAAAGAGGGGCTGTTGCTCCGGATGTTGACCATTAGCCCCATGTTATACACTGCGGGTCAGCGTGAAAATGCAGGTGCTGATATATACCGATGGAGCTGCTGCTACTTGGGCTTCGACATTTGTGAAAACCTTCTCAGGGCAGAGGGCGCACATAGAATGAGGTGCTGCACTGTGTGAACCCTTGCAGCGTCGTGAATGCTGCAAGTAAATAGTAAGGACGACAGTCAACAGCAACACAAACCTTACAGTACAAGCCCGGCGCACCGTAAAATCTACACCACGAAAACCCGAAACCTAAACTTTGAGCAGATGCATAGACCCTTCCCCAGATAATTGTAAGGACTGCCTCCAGAAGTGCTCACAAGAGTGCGGAGCATCCCCGTGCAGAATTTGCTGAATCACTCGTCGACAAAGACACGTAATCCCTTTCCCTTGTAATAAATACCCCGCTAATGTAAAATATTTCCTGGAGTGGCGCCAAATATCCAGAAATCTCAGAAATGGTTCCTAAGACTACTTTAAAAGGGGCAAGACAACTTTTCGAAGGGGAGCACTTAGGGAGAATCTAGGAACCCTCAGCCCTCCACCCTAATCCTTGAGACATGATTTGTTTTTAAGGGGGGATTGATCAAGAAGGTGTAAACACTGATTCGGAGTGGCATTCGAAATATAAATAGTACCCCCTGTTTCCTGGCCGGGGGGATTTTTTCATATTAGGGGGGGTGGGCCATATTAGGGGGAAGGGAATATTAGTGAACTCTCCAGACCTCTCGCCTCTCGGCATCATTCAGGACCTCTTTGTCCAGACCGCTGTTGAGACCTCCTTCATCACTTGATGAAAGACTTATGTTTAAGTTTTGAGACGACTTACCGCACCCCTTTCCAGAGACCGTGCACAAGCCATAACTATGGCCCCTGTGGCATTTTCTCTCATCTGCACTTGGAATGACACAACTTTGCTCCCACTTCCTTTGCTCTTCACGCGTGTCTCACAGTTACGCTCACGCTTTAATACAGGGCGGTCGCATTTGGGGGTGCGCATCTTGGCCAACGCCTGAAGACACATTTTGACGACACGCGTTTGGAGGGCCGGACCCTCCTGACGCTACGTACTGACGGCACCACGTATCCACCCGGCGCCTGACGCCACGTTCTGACGCCACGTCTGTGAAGACACGTGGGTCCCTGACGCCACGTGAGCTGTTGACGCCACGCTTTGACACCACGTCTATGTGTCTTCGCGTGAGTTCGTGACGCCTGCATGCTGGGTTTCTGACGCCACGTGCTGATGACACATCCGGCGACAAGTCCTTGCGGCCAATGGGCGCCGCCCCACGCCACCAGTCTTCCTGACGCCACGTATCTTCCCACGTGCCTTCGTGACGCCACTTGTCTTCGTGACGCCACGTGTCCCCGCGGTGCCACGTGTCTTCATGACGCCATGTGTCTGCGCGACGCCACTCGTCTTTCGTGACGCCGCGTGTCTTCGTGACGCCATGTGTCTTCGCGGCGCGACGTGTCTTCGTGATGCCATGTGTCTGCGCGATGCCCACTCGTCTTTCAATCGTGACGCCGCATGTCTTCGTGCTCCTATACGCGTCTTCGCGGCGTCACACTTCTTCACCATGGGAGGGGATGCAAATGCCTATGTGATCCTACGTGCATAATTCGCTACGTGTCTTCGCGACGCCACGTGTCTTTGCCGGACTTGTCTTCGGGAAGTGTCTGCATTGCCCACGTGTCTTCGTGTCTTCGTCGGGAATGTGTCTTTTGACGCCCACGTATCTTCAATGTCTTCGCCTGGTATATGTGTCTGCTGACGCCCATGTGTCTTCGCGGACCCAAGTGTCTTCAAATGTGTCTTCGGTCTTCGGAGCAAATGTGTCCCCCCCCCACCCACCCTCCACCCCGCGACCGCAATGCTTTTCTCACAAAACTGTGCCACATGTCAAGAGTCACACCTTGGAGGCAGTCACAAAACTAAAGCATTTTCACCCGCAGTTTTTGCCCTCGCAGCGCGCGGAGCGGGTTCAAAGGGCGCCGCAGCTTTGAATGCCCCTGAAGACCTCGGCCAGTATACGCAAAACGTGCCATGTGAAAGGACTGCAAAGAACTGGAAGATGAACAGAAGTAGGCCGTCCAAAGAACATGCCGCCTCGGCGGATGTAGCACAGCCACCGTTCTTGTCCGGGTGGTACTTCAGCTGGTAGGCCTTCCAGTGAAGCCATCGGTCCACTATTCCAGTAACTCTAGGATTCCACATGCTGCTCCAAGAAATTGCCTTGAGCTTTTTTCTGCGGCGCCCTGGGTCCTGATCCCAACAATCTGTGTCCAGACTCTAGCACGTCTGGCTGCTGTCTGTCATGATGGTCCTCGATCGTCTTCAAATCTCGCCGCACCTTCGCGACCACCTCCTGGACCTTTCTATGAACTGGTCCAAACTCAGTGCTTGACAAAAGCTCACAATGCTGAGTACGGCACCAGTTCATCCTTGAACCCTTGGACTACCTAAGCAGACAACAACCGGAAGATTGGTGGCTAGGTGATGGGCACGCTGCGGTCATCTCTTCAATCTTGGGTCATGCTCGGGGTCTGCTCTGAGTTTTCTTTCATGAGGTCCGGAGACTCTATAGTACATTAGTACATGTCATCAAAAGCTTCGCTGCAAAGGCCGAGAGTGGAGAACATGTTGCAGCGAGACATAAACCCCTACTTTGGACACATGGGCTCTAACAGCACCTCTGGAGCCTTTGGCCCATGTTGCATGCCGCTCTAAATTTCAGAAAAAGCACAAATGCAGGCAAACATGTGGAGTGGTTCAGTTGCGGCATCTGTGCGTGAATGACATGCACATGTGCATTTCATCTCGTGCGAGACTAGCAAAATTTGCTTATATACACAAATGCGCAAGTTGATACAGGAATACTGACACCGGCGATATTTCGGACAAAAAGACTCACATATTGGGCGAGCCACCAACTTCGCACCAAACCATTCACCACGAAAGCATGGATTTAGCATGAGTTAGCAATACAAGGAAAGCCCTCATAAGCCAAACCCCTGGTGTTGTGAAGAAGAAGAAGAAGAACAAGAAGAAGAAGAGGAGCACATGCACTGGCTGAAAATGCTGCAAGTCGAGGGTCCTGATCATCCGGGCGGGCTTCCAGCACTAACACGACGTCCTTCCGACTGCCGGGGAGATGCGTGTGGCGCGAGCAGGGGAGGGGTAGTACTTTGAATGATCTGGTATCTGGAGTCGCCTTGAGCGCTTCCTCTTCCCGCCCCAGCTGCTGGCGGGCTGATGCTCGTCGAAAACGAGCGATGGCCGCCTGGGTCAACGAACAAATTAGGCTATGAGGGTTCTTGTGTTCCATCAGACTGAAAGTCTAGTTATTGGCTGGTGTCTGCAAAGCGCATGGTGGTGACCTTAAGCCCAGCCTGCGAGTCCAGCTGCAGCACCGCGGAGCAATCCTCCTAAGCACATGCCAGTATCAGTATACAGATTGGCAAGTGCGATTGCGTCCTCCGCAGCTGACCAGCACCTCAGCGGGCTAAGCGTGTCATTGTCATGCTACCCATGCAACGGCCCCCAAAAACTAGGTGCACGACCTTAGGTCAAGCTCTGCTTGCGCTCTATTCTCCAAGAGGGCGCCTCGCATGTCCGTAAACCATGACCTGATTTGAGTCTTGGCCAAAGACTAAAGAGCAACACGGAAACTCGTAAGAGACTGGACACCTTTTGCGTGAAACAAGCGGCTGATTCAGAATGCAAATATGAATCGACAATTGGAAAAAGCCTCTCGAATGTGACAATTTGCTGCTCAAGTCATCCCTGCGTAGGCATTCTGGAAAATATCAGATGTGTTCCAGCTATGTGATGCTACGCGGGCCAGCATGTTTTGGTAGATTCCGCAGATGTCATGCGTGGATGTTATGGGAAGCGAAGATCAATCCATTAGGCACGGGCGTGTCGAGATCTTCTGCCGGGATCTGAGCTCCACAACCGCATCAGAACACCAGAGTTTGTAGGCGCACAGCTCACTGTGTGCCGCACCAAGTCCAACGACCAGAGCGCTTGCGAGTAAAGCAACAAGGCTTTCATCACGTCCTTGGTCTAAGATGCTGCCAAGCATTGCGACTGTTACAAGCGCTGCTTCATATGGACAGTAGGCACGTGACTACAGCAAACAGCCGGTTGCCTTCAGATTTCATGTCATCAATGCGGGACCTTCAAACTTTGAAAGCACTCTCAACGCCGTGACAGCAACCCTTGTGCAAACACAAGCAACTTCACCGTTCCGCACCCGCACCTTGAATCAGCTTTGATTTGCTCTGCCTGGCAATGAGCTTGCGGAAACGCCTTTTGGGATTTTGGGTAGTTGCGTCCCCCTAATAGTAATGACCCCCCCTTCCGTAATTCCCAACCGCCGATCTCAACACCCCTGCCCTGGTCAGAGTGCAGACTCCATGCGGTGGTCGTTCCTTTTTCCGGTCCAAGTGGTGGCAGACTCCAGGTTCAGAAGCCCCGATGGCAGGCAGGTCGGAAACCAGCCAGCTGAAGGCACTGGGGAGGTGGGCTTTTCACACCCCAATTCAAATTCGAGACAGAAGACAAGTCCGTTGAAAAGATCCTCCTTAAGCACCCAATCAACACCCTCCCTCCCTCCCTCCCTCCCCTCCCTCCCAGGGGGTCTTGTTAAATGACACGAGCCCTATGTGACCCTCAATGTTCAAGATGCATTTGTGAATGCAACAATGCCGAATGGCATTGGCTCAAGACTGGACGACTGCCTGGTTGCACAAAGGAATGCTCTGAGTGTGTTACTGGGGAAGTGATTGATCTCTGGTAGGTTGCTTTAACTGTCTAGATTGTACACTGGAATTTTGCATGGTAGCGGAGCTTCGGTTCCTGACACAGGGAAAGAAAGGACTTCGGAGTGAGAGGAGTTGGTGGAGAGATCAAACTGTTTCCTCGACCCACCTATCACGGTGAACTGGATAAATGGGATGATTGGTCATGGCAACTGAATATGTATGTTGGATTGCACCAACCACTGGCTACGACGTTGATGGATGAGATTGAGTCAAGCCCAACCAAGGTGGTGAATGATGATGTTTGTGAGGCTTACGATGTGCAACAGACTCGAACACAAAACAATGAACTGTCACTGTTCGCCCAACAACTGGCTTACATGTTGGCGCAAATCACTGATGGTGCAGCGAGAGCGATTGTCGGGAATGAGGACACAGAGCATGGCTTTGAGATTTGGCGGAGACTGTTCAACCAGTTCTCACTGCCCAGCCGAGCCCGTGCGACGAATCTCTTGAATGAGATCATTGCCTTTCGATTGCGGCGTGACCATCTTGAGAGTGATTTGAGTGATTTCATCATACTGAAGAACAGACATGAGAAAACCACTGGAGTGCCGTTGGACAATGATTTGCTGATCACGTTGATAATGCAGAAGACCACTGGTCCACTGCAGCAGCATCTGCGCTTGAATGTCAGGAACATCACGACGTTCACTGAGGCACTGGAGATTGTCTACAACTAGATCGGCATCTAGTTGTACCAGGTGGTAATAGGAATGACGGTCCAGTCGACATGGATATTGGTGCGTCGAAAGGAAAGAAAGGAAAGGAAAGGGAAAAGGAATGTATGGAAAAGGAAAAGGATGCGGCTACAAAGGCAAAGGAATGTTCAAAGGCAAAGGAAAAGGAAAGAGTAAAGGAAAAGGAAAGAAAAGGAAAAGGAATGGTAGCCGCGCACAGCAAAGGAAAAGGAAAAGGGAATGGCTGTTTTCTGTGTGGTGACCCGAACCACTGGAGTAGAGAATGTCCGAAAGGTAAGGAAGAACGTCAGCTTTGACTGAGGAAGAAGGACAACAGGAAGGAAACCAGGAAGAATGGAGTCAGGATGTCGCATGGTATGGTGACGAATGGTACCGTCCAGTTAGTCCCTTCCCCCTAACATTAAATGGTCGGTCCCCCCCCCGCCCTAAATAAAAACTCGAGAATGTTTTTATAATTAGGGGGCTGTTGTTATCTCAACTGCCAGAAACACAGGTTCTACAAGTAATTAAAGTAGTGCAGTGATGACCAGTAGTGCAGTAATTGGCAGTAATGCAGCAATTGGCAGAGTGCAGCAATTGGCCGTAGTGCAATAGTGACCAGTAGTGCAACACTTCCACAACACTCCACAACACTTCCACAACACGTCCACAAAACTTCCACAACACTCCCACAACACCTCCACAACACCTCCACAACACTTCCACAACACTTCCACAACACCTCCACAACACCTCCACAACACTTCCACAACACCTCCACAACACCTCCACAACACCTCCACAACACTTCCACAACACTTCTACAACACCTCCACAGCAATTAGCAGTAGTGCAGTAGTTGGTAGTACAGCAATTGGCAGTAGTGCAGTAATTGGCAGTAGTGCAGCAATGACCAGTAGTGCACTAATTGGCAGGAGTGCAGTAATGACCAGTATTGCAGTCATTGGCCGTAGTGCGGCAATTGGCAGTAGTGCAGCAATGACCAGTAGTGCAGTAATTGGCAGTACACTAGCTAGCGTATCCTCCCGCCACCTCCCACTACACCTCCGGGAGTACGTAGCAAGCCTAGCAAAAGCTAACTGGCTTCACGAAGTAGCACGGACAACACGAACTTCTCTCTTTTTAGCGTTGTGGCGAAGTCCCGCGTTAGCCCGGAGAAGAACTCTAGCCTTTGGCTAGCTAATCTCCAGGGTGGGTTGGGTGGGCACTCGAAATTTGCCCCCCAATAGCTGGGGGCCTTTCAGCACAATGGCCACGGCGTAGCACTGCTTCACCGGCCATGTGCAGTCACTCTAGCAAACAGACAAGCTTCGTTCTGTTTAGCTTCAGAGGAAAACCCCTTCGACGTTTTCTAGCGAAACACCTTCGATGTTTCCCAAAGGGATACTAGCGCTAGCATACACTGTCGTACCTCGTCCCTCGGCACGAGTGCGTACACTAGCTAGCGTATCCTCCCGCCACCTCCCACTACACCTCCGGGAGTACGTAGCAAGCCTAGCTAAAGCTAACTGGCTTCACGCAGTAGCACGGACAACACGAACTTCTCTCTTTTTAGCGTTGTGGCGAAGTCCCGCGTTAGCCCGGAGAAGAACTCTAGCCTTTGGCTAGCTAATCTCCTTGCGCAGCCGTAGGGCTACCAGGGACCTAGCTTACGGGCCTTCTTAGCGAACCTCGGAGCCTTCGGCTCCCCGGTCCTTTTCCTCACTCCTAGCTCCTGGAAGTAGCTAGCCGAGTGTTCGAGGAGACGGCCCAGCACGCGCCACTCTAGCTTTTCCCCCTCCAGGCTCACCCTGAAGTCCGGGGAGAAACTAGCGAAGTTCTCGTTCGTGAGGTCGTCCGCTAGCTGGTTCAGATCCCTGCGGATCCACTGTAGCTGAAGCTCACAGTTCTTTAGCGGAGAGTTCCTCTGCTAGCTCCATCAACACCAAGGTCGACGGGAACTTCGTCGTCATAGCCTTCTTCAGTAGCGCCTCGTTGGATCCCCTTCCGGGACCCAGAGCCTCACACCAACCAGAGTAGCCAGTAGCTCCAGCGCGGCTATGACCTTGTTCGGGTCCCCCTTAGCGAAGGCCCAGGGGGCCCATTCCTTCTTCACCTCTAGCGAGAACCAGGGACCGTGGCAGCCGTCCACTAGCTCGAGGAAGCCCCCAATCCAGGCACGTCCATTCTCGGCTTTAGCATCGGTGTAAAAGGAGAGTGGTGCCGCACCGTCCAATAGCGAGGCTGGCTTCTGGAGACGGCCTCCTGCTTCCAGGCGGTCTGCTAGCCAACCACAGAGGACGCGAATCATCGTGGGTAGCGTGAGGAGCCCCAGCTTCCCTGGATAGCCGAGGACCAGGCGTGTAGCGGTCCCAGGAAGGGGCGCTCCCAGTCTAGCGCCATGGAAGCGAACCCCAGGCGCCCTAGCCCCTGTGCGAAGGGTCGGGCCTCACACTTCCCGTCTCGGACTAGCTTCCGTAGCCATTCCACTAGCCAGTCGGTTCTCTTCTGAGACAGGCCTAGCCTCCAGGTGGAGTACTCCGTTTCCATGCCTAGCCACTCCACCCGAAAGCCCCCCCTCGTCTTGGCCCATTTGAAGGGGTACCCAAGACTAGCGAGGAAGAGATAGCTAGCGGGATCCCCATGCGTCCTCTAGCCCCTCGGCCCAAGGACTCGAGGTCGTCGGCATAGAGAAGCATGTCTAGCGGGAACGATGGCCCTAGCAGGTGGTACGTGAGTCGAAGCCCACACGCCGCTATGCGGGTCCACCAGTAGCTCGCACATGATAGCCCGAAGGTCCCCACCAGATTGACGTAAACCGTCTGGCTGTCGGGGTCCCCCGGTATAGCTTCCTCGGTGTCGATCTGACACCCTAGGTAGCCATGCTCTCCTTCGGCATGCTTGTAGCGTCGGTGAGCTTTAGCGATGTCGCCCACCACGGAGAAGGCCACCTCGTTAGCGTCGATGTGCTCCCGAAGTAGCTGCTTCTTCTCCCTAGCTCCTGGGGCCCGGATCTTGTCCCGGCACTTGATGCGGTGGTTGACCCGGACCCCGTGGGTAGCGTCGTGGATCATCCTCTTCTTTCCACTAGCTTCGTCCTCAACGATGACAGCTAGCGCGGCGATGGCTCGATGCTCGCCATAGCGGGCTTTGAACTCGCCTAGCGTCATCTTGGCCATGAGGCCCTCCGCCACGTCCTCTTCGAACTTCTCCCTAGCGAACTCGCGGTACTCCTCCACCGAGCAGTAGTTCGGGACCCAGGCTAGCGCCGCCTCCCAAGGAGCGTTCTCCAAGGGCCACTTTAGCTGTTCCTCGAAGACGTGGGGAGTGCGTGGTAGCGGGTCCCTCAAGTCCCTGTCGGGATCGCCGGCCGCGGTCAGCAGCGCCCGGATGAGGCGGAGGTATAGCGGCTGCCCCGGGGCCACCTTTAGCAGTTCCGGGTCTCCCAGGTCATTAGCTTCCAACCACCCTTTCCAGATCAAGCGTAGCTGCTCCTGGAGATCTTCGGAGCTAGCTAGGGCACAGCCCTTGGCCCCCCCGGCAGCCATGC